GATTGACAATAACCATGTGTCTGTCTGAATCTCTGATGCATTGAGATAAAAAGTGAATGAACCCTACAGCTAAGTGGATCAGATGCCTAGAATAGCAAAAACACTAGTTATTTTGGAGTATATGGTAATGATATCAGATCCTTCTATACTGCCTTGAGAAGAAATATATTACATATTTCTTATATGCAACATATATTATAGTAGAACAAATTATCTTAAAAAAGAATTATAGGGTTTGTAAAAATAGAAAATAACGGAAATTGAATGCATTATTTTTGAGTCCTTTAAAGTGTGGTGGGAGGAGCTGCTTCTAAGATAATATGGGTCATGCAGTATCAATTGTTCATTTTATTGATTGTTTAAAGTGGCTTAACAACATCAGATAGAAACAGGAGCCCTTTATAAATTTATAATTAATATTTGTCCTTCTGGTTTTTTGGGGATAAGGTGGAGAGGTGGCTTCTATGTCCTCGAACCGGTTCCCCAGTGGCTGCCACACATGGAAGCTGAGGCAGGACTTGCGCACCGACCTGTCCGGTGCCACAAATCTCCGACTGTACTGGCAGACTTCCTAAGTCTAAAGCAAGGAGGGTGGGAGAGAGATATCCAATCCAACTTCTCTGTGTGTGAGAGAGAGAGAGAGGGGGGGAGGGCAGGCAGCCAGGCAGGGAAAGGCTGTCCAGTCTCTTTTTGAAAACCTCCAGTGATGGAGTACCCAGAACCTCTAGACAAGCAGTTCCACTGATTAGTTGTTCTCATTGTCAGGAAATTTCTCCTTAGTTTTAAATTGCTTCCCTCTTTGTTCAGTTTCCATCTATTGCTTCTTGTTCTGCCTTCTGCTGCCCCCCTTCTTTGTGGCAGCCCCTTAAAAGCTTGTTGCCTATCACTCTTTTGGGCAAAATGTGAGCCATTTCTTCCTTTCAGTGGTCCATGAAAGTACATCTATAGTATGTAGATAATAAAGTTGAAAAAAGGTGAACAACATTTTACAGAACTATAGATATGTTGAAGCTGAGTGTGGCAAGGAATGGCTGGGAGGGGCAGGGCCAGGCAAGGTACCCCTTGATGTGAATGACATTGAGTTGGCAACAGCCACTCAGTCGCATGACCACCAAGCCATGCCCACAGAACTAATAGTAATTTTTTTAAAAAACCCACCACTGGTAAGGGGGAACAGTTTTCCACAACCTGCTTCATATAGGATGAGACATTTTGCTTCATAGAATATATATTATAATTTTCATGAATAGAATTCAAAATACTCTACAGAAGTTTAAAAGAAATTGAATGATGACTATTCTATCCCCCCTTCTCCACTCGTTAACAGACGACAGGCAAACAAACTTAAAAGGAACTCTCTTTATCAGTTCTCGGCTCAGACTGGCTGCAAGCCCAAAAATAAACAGAAATAAAGTCTCTTTCAAGAAATAACAGAATACAAAACAAAAACTCTTACAAAGCAATGCACTTCTCCAAGTGCCTCCTTGAATCAGGGTTACAGAAAGCAAATCACTTCTCCAAGTGCTGTCAAATAAACCACGACTGATGATCAATCAATGCATGAATGAACGAAGGAACATTGACTCCTGCAACCAGGGTGTCGCACCATCCGTCCTTTTATCCCCAGAACATGCCACTAACGAGCTCCAGCTGCAGTGTTAATCTTGCATCCCGAAAAGACTCACAGAAGACGTCTGCTGAGTCACAACACTATCCCCCACCGCAGGGCCCTTTCCCCGGGTTCCAATGGTCTGGATGCGGTCAGCATGAGATGTCCACAAGATGACCCGCACCCATTTCCTGTGGTGCCTTTTTCATGAGTCCCAAACCTCTGCAGGAATAGCCCCCTCGAATCAGAACTCCTTAGGTATCCAGTGGCCACCATGTTTCCTGCCACCCTTCACGGCGTCGACACCCCATCCTGGGTCCTTCACCCTCTGCAAGGCCGATCTACCAGGTTGATGGCAGCTTTACCAGCTTCAGCCGAGCCTTAACACCCTGTCCAGGGTCCTCCACCCTCTGCAAGACTGACCAACCAGCTCCCTTACTGTCGGAGGCTGGCAGCCACTCCAACAGCTCCGGCCGAGCCCTAACACCCTGTCCAGGGTCCTCCACCTCCTCCAAGGCCAACTCACATGACCCATCGCCGTCGGAGTCCGGTGGCAGCTTCCCCGACTCCTGTCGAGCGACCACACAATCCCCTCCCACAGAGCCCTTCCCCCGGTTCCGACCATCGGGGTGCGGCCCAGAAGGGTTGGTGATGGCCTCCACCGAACACGGTCCAAGACACTGGTACCCCGCCGGGAACCTCGAAACAAAGTCCAGTGCTGCGGGGACTGGAGTCAACAATGGCTGGAATCTTGGCGGAGTTCTCCTTGCAGACCTGGCCCATTGGCACTGGGCACATGACTTCACGCACTTCCGCACGTCATTTTTCAGATGGGGCCACCAAAATTGATGGGAGGCCAGGCGCAACGTCCAAACAATCCCCCAATGTCTTGATGCAGACGTGCAATGAATCTGTGAGAGCACCCATCGACGGATGTGCGCTGCGGGAACATAGAGTCGGCCCCGACACTTCACAAGATCCCCTTCCAAAGTCCTAGGGGACGCCGGCCCCACTTCCGCCTTTCGTCGCTCCACCCAGTTGTCACCCCGCTGCGCATCCCGCATCAGAGACTGCTTGCTCACGGGATGACAAAAGGCAGTGCAGGATGCAACGGGTAGAACAGTCCGAGGTGGAAGCGAGTTCGCAGGGTCAGAGTTCTCTACTTTACTCGGCAGGGCCTAGTGAGTCACAAGTATATCAATAGTCATCTGCTGAGTCACAACAGATGACTATTGATATACTACTTGAAATCTTATTGTTACTTGAAATCTTACTGTTAATAGAGATATAACTAAACCACATGATAAAAAGGAACAATACAATTCTGCCCTTTATCTACTCTTCTGTTTATTTTGGTTTTGGAAATTTTGAATAGATATGTAAAACAAAATGAAATTATTTGAGAATATACACTTAAAAAGAGACAAGTTAAGAATGTGTGCAGATGATTTGGTGCAGCTTTTGGAAGACCCATTCAAGAGAAGTGAAGTATTAATGGGGAAACTAAAAAAATGGTGCACTTTCAGGTTTCAAGTTTAATCAAAGATGTTAACACAAAAAATATGAAAGTACAAGATCAAACAGAATTGGTGAATTTTTTTTTAAGATTGACAAGTAGGTATTAGTATGACAAACAGGGGTTTTATCTTGTTTCAAAGTAATTACGTGAAGATACGGAATAAAATTAAAAAAAGATATGTGAAGACAGGAAAAATTGCTATTATTATTTTTGGGCTGAATTTTTGTGATTAAAAGAAATACTTAACCCAAGATGCTATTTTTGTTTAAGAGATATCTATTTTGACAGCTAATATACCAATTAAACAATGGCAAAAAGATATATCTAAATTTGTGCACTAGTTAAATGTTAGAAGTTACAAGATGCAAAAGAAAGAGGATTATGTTTACCTGATTTGAAATTATATTTTTTAGGTTGTGTTTAATATGGGTGAAAGACTGGATGCTTTTGAGAAATAGAAGAATTTTGCAGATAGAAGGCATGATTTGAAATTTGGGTTGCGTGATATTTAAATAGTAAACAATAAAATAAAATAAAACTAGCAGAAAGGAACCTTAGATTGTAAATTAACCTATTCTTTAAAAGCCTAGAAAAATGTAAATGCCTGGAGTAAAAAACAAAAAGTACTATGGAAAAATCAGACTTTTTTCTCTGGGATGATCATTCTAAAATCAAGGGACTATTATTAAAAGGACTAACTCTTGGAATTTTCCCACTGTACTAAAGGATGGAAGCAGGCTACCTAAAAAACTATATGGTATAAGTAGGAACATGCTGAAAGAAGACTTTCTGCCAACATGGTATATTAGTTTTGTAAGAAAGACCAGACCAAGAAAGTAATATTATATAGACTGAAAACCACTTTTATTGGAACATTTATGGTAACAGTATCTTGCAAGTTTAAATGTGCTGTTCTCCTACTTATTTTATCTTCCTGTGAGTTAGGGAGGAACGTCTCTGAGATGTTTTTATCAAATTAGATTCTTCAGATCTCTGCTTGTCGCCTTTTTCTCCTATCATTTAAGGCCATTCCCTTTACCCTTCTTCAGAAATTGTGGTTCTACACCTTGAAAGATTTTATAGATTAATACCAGAACATGAACTAGGACTAGAATATAACTTGAGCCTTTTTTTAACCAGATACAAGTAATATATGCAGCCATTTAAATTACAATCAAGGTCATATCAACATATTATTTTGTAGTCTGATGAAAATGTAATATACAGGTAGTCCTTGATTTTCAACAATTCATTTGGGTACAACAGCATTGAAAAAAGTTACTTAGGATCATTTTTCAGACCTATGATTGTTGCAGCATCACATGTCAAAATTCAGACAGTTGACACCGTGTTTATGATGGTTGCAGTGTTCCAGGATCATGTGATCATTTTTTGTGACCTTCTGACAAGTAAAGCCAATGAGGAGGCCAAATTTTCTTAACAACTGCGTTACTAACTTAACAACTGCAGTGGTTCATTTACCAACTATGATAAGAAAGGTTGTAAAATGGACAAAATTCACTTAACAACTATCTTGCTTAGCAATATAAATTTTGGGTCTAAGTTGTGGGATAAAGTCATTTCTTTACTTTGGATAGATTGTACAATGTCTGGGGCCCCTGCACTAAATGTATCATTTGAAAGACTTGGATATAAACTCAAGAACCCCTGCCATAACTACCAGCAAATCATAATTTTGTTATATGTATCTGTGGAAAGGATAGGTTAATAAGCAGCATACTTATTAATTGTGCTTAATTCAATGTATATTTTTTAAAATTGCACCCAATTTAATTGCTATCTTTGCATGTCAGCTTTTCAGGAGAAAACTGATTGTATCTTTTTTCCAATATTCTTCTCTCTTGTTTTCAGCATTCCTATGCACCAGCTCCCCATCCCATGGCTCCTCCCAGCCCCAGCACTAACAGTAGCAACAACAATAGCAACAACAGCAGCGGTGAACAGTTGAGTAAAACCAACCTGTACATCCGAGGCCTTCCTCCCGGCACCACTGACCAGGACCTAATTAAACTGTGCCAGCCGTAAGTAAAATTATTTGTTCTGTCTTCCCACTGGGAATCACATGTGTAAGGACAGATGGTCCCCAACAACTTTGGAACTTGCATTGGAAATTTTATTTATCTACAGATGAAGTAATTAATTGTGTGGCTTGCCTTTGGATAACATCTGATAAAAACTTGCATCTTGGTCTTGAGGGTGATGGAAACTACCTGATAATCTCTGCTGGACAAAAAACATAATAAATATGCAGACTCTTTGAAAAAATGTTAAAATGTTTACTTGATGCTGGGTAAGGTATGTACTAGTGGTTGCTGGGGAAATTTTCTGCAGTGGAAAAGACAACAGACATGTATCCCAACATAGCTATTACAGGAGGAACTTTTTGGATGAGATCTAATGCCCTTGTCCCTTGAAAATTGTAACCCTTCCAAATTAGCAAACTGTATCAAAATCAAATATCTGGATAAATGTTGCTTTGAATCGTCTTTTTGGAGTACAATTAAAGAGGTGAAATATATTAGTCTTTTATTTCTGCATATGTCTCTTGGCTTCAACGTTCTGTTAACAGTATTCTTGTCATCATGAGTTGGTAATGTTTTAGTTTCAATTCAACTGCTCAGGACTGATGGGTTCATTTGGGTTTGGCTTTTCTCTCCCACTCTTTCTTTTCAGCTACTTCAGAATTTCCCAAACAAGAATGATCTGACGTGTTAAATCTCACTTTGTCTGATGCTGGGGAAATAGTTTTGCCTTGGGAAATATGTAACACAAAAGGAGAACATATATATAAGGAGAACATAAACATGCACTGGACATATATCACATATTTATACGCTTTTCTTACTGGGGGGTCCTTGGATTTTGGAAGTTGTTCATTTCTCTTTATGACTGTATTTGTCAAATTATTATTAAAAAGCCTCTCAGATAGATAAATTATATATACTATCTATGAGCAATTGCTACAATAAGAAGGCATGGACTTCACAAAGTCTTTTATTTTTTTGTTTTAGCTCTGTTTATAATTTTAAAAAAATACTACCAATTCTGTGGAGTACCACTGTCACCAATTACAATTATAGGCCAGAATTTTTTTGGCTCGTTATATCCTCCTGTCAACATTCTACAGTTCTTCCTTGCCTTAGGCTTTGTGATATGTTTCCATATTTCTCTTTTGATTAGCAGTAACTTTATACATTTATTTGGTTGCCTAGGATCTCTTCCATGAATTCTTGGTTTTAAAATCTAATGTTTATTTTGTCCCTTTAGGTTTCCTTAACCTTCAGTTCAAGCCCACAAGGAATATGCATAATTGTATGTTATTAGGGTACATTACTCTGTGTTAGGGAGAAAGATAGGATAGTTGTTTTATTCTGTTTTCTGTTTTTTTTTAATGCTGTCACAATTGCAATTGTCATTTTTTAAGGGAAGCATGACCAGAAGTCCTGCTCTTTCCTTTGCACTCTCTTGCTTTTCCCATATTGGAGCAGGGTAGTCTGAAGGAGATTTTGCAGTATGTGTCTTCTTGTTGTAGACTTCTTGCCCAGACTGTTATAGGCTTAAATGGCAAGATGGGATGTAGAAGACGAGAAGACCCATCCCAGTCCTATTTAAGGACTTGGATATTTTCCTTCTGTGATTTTAATCCATTTTAACAGTTGTGTATTGAATACAGATAGTCCTCAATATACAACCATAATTCAGCCAGAATTATGGTTGTAAGTCATCGCAGTTATAAGTCGAGGCATCATTTACTAGACTCAATATTTTGTAAGGCAATTAAAACAAAGGCCATGATTGTTAAGCAGATCCATTTTCCCTGATGGATGGTGTTGTTTTTTTTTGCTGGAAACTGAAAATAAACACCAGAAAACAACATTGCAAATTGCAGCCATGTGACTGCATGATGGCCCTAAAAGTAAGCCAGATGCCAATTGCCCAAAATATGATCATGTGACTGGGGGGGGGTGTGTAACTTCAAAAACAGTAATAATTAGCTCGGGGTAGATCTGAAAGGTTTGATAAGTCAAGGACTACCCATATGAGAAATATTGATATATTTAAAAACTTTTATCAACATACCCTGTTGTTGTGGCCCAGCAGGATCCGGTGGAGCTGCTGATGGACTCGGATAGTGAGGAACTATATGAGTCTGCCATGGAAGATGTGGAGGATCTTGTGCAGGGTTCAGACTCAGAGCAGGGACCAGAGAGGCTGGTTGGCCACCAGGAGGCGCCTGAGGCATGGAGCAGTGTGGAAGATCAAAGGCAGTTTGTCCCTGATGCTAGATTGAGAAGGGCTGAGAAACGGAAGCAGCAACTCCGTAGGCAGTCTCACAGAAGATGATTAAGCCCAGGTGGTTGTTGATTGGCCCCTCCCAAGAGATTATAGGTGAGGCGTTGGGAGGGGACATTTGCAGGAAACAACCGTTTGAATTAGTAGTGAATAAAATCTATCTGTGCATTCTAGCCGTGTCTTTTCATTTGGACTCTCTGGATTGCTTTGTTTGGATTATCTGGGTTACAGCAGAACTACTGTATTGAACGTGAGTTGCCTGAGCTCTCAGCCAAAGGATTCGTTATCTCAGTAATTGAATAGTGGCAAACAGCCAAGCCTGGTTCTCGTGCATTCACAGGCCGGGGGGGGGGGGTCAGAATACCCTGTTATATATAACACAGAATAGTACTATGCTATTTGTCATCATTCATAGGGTCAGAAAAATTTTATTTACTGTTTTAAGTATGCCAATAGCCATGTTTGCAATGTATGTATGTATGTATGCATGCATGTATGTATGTATGTATGTATTTATTTATTAATACAGATACTAGGAAAATTTGTTAATTAAATATATTTTGAGCTCTTTCTTGGAATCAATGTTGATACAAAGTGTGATAGCACAGCATTACATCTGTAAGACGTATTGCTTTTAGCCTTCGGAGAATAGTGATTCATATTTCCTTATAGAGGCAATCTGGCTGCAAGGGGATTGATAAATGCCTGTTCACTGGGAAATGATTATTTGGGTGTTATCTGGATCATCCAGATTACTCAGTAAGATCTCATTAAGTTTTGAAGCCATAGTCTTGCTTTGTCATCTGCATTTAGAATAATCATATAACCAAAGATAGACATGAAATTGTTGGTAAAAATGCATTGTGTGAAGAAGTAATTATTTCTTTTTGGAAGCAGTTATAAGAAACCTATAGAGGAATATGTTGTAAGTTTGCCTCCCTTCTCCTCCAAATCTATGTCTCCCGGTTTGTTCTGAGCATAACCTCTAGACAACACTTATATATATGGGCTTCTGTATGAATTTGAACTTGATATTGTTCAGCTTAACCTTGCAGATTTACAATGCAACTCAAAAGGATGCTTTTCACTTGTACCAATCAGAGAATATTTGAAGACTGTGTGGTCAAATGTGCAACAAGTGTAAAAATGCAGTTACTTATACTAACAGAAACATTTAGATTTGCAAGTCTAAGATTAATTTACTCCTGATAAGAACATTAGTATATAGCAAGATATTTCTATATAGGTTTTTGTTGAGTAACTTGTTGCTTATGGAATGCAAATGATAGTCAATGAACTTCATGGCCCTTACTGATTTGTTGTTCAACTTTAAAATACTTGATTTTCTGTGAACAGTGTTAAGCTTCCTTAGCATTTTATTTAAGTTCCTGTAAGTTGCTAAGTAACTATTCAAAAAACATTTCTAACAAGAATTGCCCAATATTATTAAAGCTGTATCCTTAAAATAATGTGTGAAAGCAAAACATTTTTTCTTGTAGTTTTTCCATTTCTTCCAGCTGAAGAAGCTTCCTTGTATCCACTCATTCTTGTCTCCCAAGTGTGATATAGATCTAGAACAGGGTTGGCAGCCTACGGCTCTCAATCTAATTTCATGGCTCCTCAGCTTCATTTCAGAAACTCTCTGAATTCAAGAGCCAATTTGAACTATCTCTTTCTTTCCCCGAAGCCTGCTATTTGGGCAAGAGAAGGATGTCAAAACGAAAACAAATGAGTGAAACACCCATTTAAAATCATAGAAATGGAAATACCACTCAGGTCATCAATTCAATTCCTGCTCAATGTTGCAATCAAATTAAGGCATTTCTGACTGATGGATGTCTAGCCTCTCCTTGAATAGATCAAATTAAGTGAAGCCTACTATGCACCTGGGTAGAGAATTCTAATATTTAATTGAAATCTGTCTTATAGTAATTTAAATCTATCATTCTACACTCTATTTTCTGGAATGATGGGAAAAAGTCATGATTTTTTTCGCTTGTGATACTTTTTCTAGTACTGTACTTAAAGAATGCTGTCATATCTCTTCTCAGTGTTCTCTTCCAAAATATGCCCAACTTTTTCAATCTCTCTTCACAAGTACTCTAATCAAGCTTGTTGAACTTCTCTAAATGTGTTTTTTGAAATCTTCTCAAAAGTGTAGTATCCATAAGTGCTGGACTCAATACCCAAGATATGGGTTCTTATGGACGCCTTTTCCTACAGCCCTGCTATTACATGCTACTTGTTGATAATTCCTGACATGGCCCTTGATCAAAATAATAAATATAACATATAACCACCTTTGAAAATGTAGCTTGAAAAAGGGGGAAAGAAAGTGAAATATGTCAGTATGAAACCTCTTTGTTATGTTATGGCTACATTCTTGAAATTGAGTTTTGAAAGCTTCTTAGAATTTAGTTTCAACTTCTAAACTAATTCTTGGGAAGAATTACTACTTATTTTAAATTTAATAAAATAAAGAAATACTATTATATGAATCATCTGAAAATGATCATAGAAGCTGGTGAGTGGTGATGGAGAGGATGATAAATTTTTAAAAAGATATAGTAGGCAATATTTCTGTTTCCAAGCCTTTTCTGTTATATAGTTATATGTTCTATGTTCTATGAATATATAGTATATTCATATGTTATGAACTATAAGAAACAATAGAATTTTAATTGGTTTTCATTGACCTGTGATTCTAAACAATAGAAGAAATTCCAGC